CCACCCCAACCATCGGAAATCATTATTTTTTGGTCGATCTAAAAAAAGAATGATATATATATATTCATATTTAGTAGTGTTTGATTTGTCCAAATTTATGTGATATAATTTGGCTAGACACAAAATTTAAAAAAGAAAAAAAGTTTTTTGAAACAAACTTTAGATATTCGTGTCTTCTAAATCGTTGGGGTAAAAGTTTGATTTTTTTTCTAATTAAAGAAAGGTAATACTCATTCTTTTTGAGATGGAATAAAAGAAAGGCGTGTTACATACAAATTGAGACAGAAAGAGCACTAATTTAACTTAAATCTTACTCTCTTAAATTTGTTTGTCTTACTTTCTCTTTAGTACATTGAAAAAGAATCTCTTTTCTTCTTTAGAAACTCTGTTATAATTTTTCACATTACATATTTAAGACCACAATATTAAAAAACATTTTGATACATTTTTTATATATATCAAATCTTTAGTTGAACACCACAAGATTCAAATCTTCGTTTTTATAGTCTATTAAAACCATAAGTACTCCACTTATAGAATTACATCAAATATATTTGTTACGTCTGATCTTTATTTTTTTTCTTAAAATCTGTCCATACTTAATCAAACACCTTCACATAAACTGTAACAACAAAAAATACTTATTCTGAAATCACTATCATCAACACACAACTCACACAAGCAAACAAAGGATTTATGCAGAGAAAAATAGAACCTCTTATTCTTGTTATGATCATGAATTGATAAAAAAAGGTATACAGTAAAGTAAAGTTTCTCTTGCGTGAATTGGTGTCAATACATCAACTATTAGTAACCATCTTATCAACCTGTCAAATACATCACCTACTACTCCCTAGCCATTAAAAATTAAAAAGAAGCCTCTTCCTTCTTTTCACTACTCAACAAAAATTAATACTTCTTTTCTTGCATACCATATACAGTGCTTTTCAGTTTATCATCTCCTCTATGCTTATTGACCTAAAAACCATAAGGATATGTCTAAACTTTACATCAAATCACCACTGATTAGTATGATGAAACAAGGCATGGCTACAACATGGTATAAAGAGAAAATCAGCTCATCATAGATTTTGAAGTTGAAAATTTGAAATTTGAAGTTTTGTTGTGTAACATTTCGTCCAAAAACTTGTTTGACTCCGTTTTTGGAAACTTGAAAATATTTTTGAACATAATTTTTTATCAAACATATATTTGAAGTAAATTTTCATCTAAAATTTATGAAAAAAATGATAGCTTAAAAAGATGTAAATTTAAATTAAAAGAGAGGTGGTCCTAGGGATAAACACTAGACACGATAGAGATCCCATTGTAGGGGGGTGGGGGGCAAAGTGGGTAACAAGAATAACCCTATTTTGACAACTTTGATGGTTTTGTTGAGGGGACAATTGGGCACAATTTAGGGCAATTGATTATGGTCCTATATCAAAGACACAAAACAATAACAACAATTCTCATGCATGTTCAAGAATCTCCTCCTCCCCTTCTTCCATAAAAAAAAAACAAAATCTCATATATATATAAGAAATTTTAGGGGAAGGAAAATAGTAGAATATGGGGTATACAACTCTTATTGATTGATTTCTCAGATGATTAATCAACTATTAGTTATTACTATCTCAAAAAATCATTTTTTTCAACAAAGAAAATGACTTTCTTGTTGGCCCCATATCTTTTTCCAAATGTGACCACTTTCCATTAATACCAGAAATCTTTTGTAAAGTACAATAAGAAAATGCAACAAGATAAAGACTTTGATAAGGAATCATATAATAAAATAAACAAAAAATGTTCTCTATAACTAAAGTACTAAATGAAAAGGTGAAGAATGATTAGCATTATAAAGTGAAAGATAATGAAGCCATCCACCATTACTAATACAAACAAACAATATGGTAGGGTAAATTAACACCTTTAATTGGAATATACATCATTTTCCCACTCCAAAGTGCCACTTACCTAACAATTTGGTAATAACATGAGAATCTTTCATCATCAACAACAACAACAAATAATTAAAAATAAAAATAAGTTGATCAAGATCTTGCATTATACAAAGACTAGTTAACTTAAATACTATATATCATCAACCTAGTCCTCTTATGTTAAAATTTAAAACATTCATATCAATAAGTTAAACAAAACAAACAAAAAAACCCATGAAATTTCAATACCTCAATTCATTGTCCTTCACCATGCAAATTTCTACTACTACAACTTCACTAGAAAATCTTGTTATTTAGGGTTTTCTTTCCCCTATACTTCACGCGTTTTCTTCAGATCCCTCCTAAACTATCAGTAGTCTTAATTACCCTCTGAACTTGGCTATTTGATAGTTTTTCTCAACGCCAAGACGAGATGGAGAAAAGAGGTTGATTTTGCCAACCTAAGAAGAAAGAATTACTCGAAACTCCGAGTTGATAGCCTTCAGAAGGATAATGAAGTCTCAAAAGAAGCTTAGCTTGTGATAATGCAAAAGGGCTTAAAGCAACATTACTAAATCCACAACTCCTCAACATAACTTCCCATGATCTAAACCTTTCATGTCTTTCTTTCCTTTTATCTCCTTCCATCGCCACGATATCAACTATCTCTCTCCCAAACCACACTTGTTCAACTGTCATCCTCTCACGACTACCCGGTGGCAATGTAGCTTCCAATGAATCAAACACAGCTGTATAATAATCCAACGCCTCGATAAATCTTTGTAAAAAAAGAGGATGGTTATGATTTGCTTCCTTCTCCGCGATTGTAACAATTTTAGGGTTCATTGACTTAACCCTATGCAAAAAAATCCTTAATTTTTCGCGGTCTTTTAAAAGGCGGTGGAGATAGAAAACACAGTTGATAGCTAGGGTTTCATCAGGGAGAAGTACAATGGAGGAAATAATAGAAGGATCTTCATCGTGATCGCGGTTATTATTGGCGATATAAAGAGGATGGAATTGAAATCTCAACCCTAATGAGTGAGCAAATTTAGCTAAACGATCACCTGTTCTACGAAGGGTATCAAGGTCATTTCCAGTACCGGTGATTCGAAGAGTAGGAGCAGGGTAACGATCAGCTAGTGCTTGCATTAACGGTGGCCATTGAACCCCGTGATTAATGTCGAAATCAACGATGTGGATTGCTTGATGATTACCGTTAATCGCTTCTAAAATCGCTTGATTAGCGGTTAATTGAGTAAACCTTATAAAAGGGGTAACTTGATTTAGAGAAAGATATGATGATTGAATTAGAGCTAATGATGACGATGGCAACGAAGATGAAGAATCAGTTGGAGTTGTTTCAACAGGTGTCATGAAATGATTGGTGGTTGACGATATATAGCGGTTGAGACGAAGGGAAAGTGCGCGAGTAAACTGATGGACTAACCGTTCAGTTGAATCACCAAAAGGAGAAGAGTTAGTTGATAATATGGTAAGGAGTCTTTTCGCGGCCGAGAAATCGGACCGCGAAATCAACTCCGCACAGCTAATGAGTAGCTGGCGGATTTGAATAGCTGGTGAGGTCGTTGTGGTGGTGGTGGTGATAGTTGTAGTAGTAGCGGTGAATCTACGCCGTTGATGATGATCAGAAGATTCTTCATCATGATGAGGGTGAGATTGAGATGATGAAGAACCAAAGGATCCTAACATATCATTCAAATTTAACAACACTATTTCAGGTGAAAGTGAAAACCCTAGAGAGAGAAAGAATATGCTTATGAAAAGAGAAATAAAAGAGAGAGAGAAGGGAAAAAAAGGGGACCTGGGGGGAAGGACAGAGGGGGTTCAATGATGGAGGAGGGGAAATTTATGGTTTTGGCATCTGAAAAATTATGTTGGTCGCGCTCTTCAAAAATATTGATGTTTTAATTTTTCAAAGTACAGTACTTTTAAAGGATTTAACATACACCATGCTAATATTTTTGAAGAATTCAAATAACATAAGCTAAAACTAACATAGAGTTGGCTTGAGTGGGAAAATGTGAAAATGATAGGAACTATACTCGGGAGGGTCGTTTGATTGGTGGGATAAGATAAATAAGGATATTCCATAGAATTATATTCATCTTGTGATGTCATTTAATTTTTATTATAATAGTAGGATAAGATAATCCTGAAACTAAAATATTACTCACAATTAAACATAAGATAAAATAAGCTTATAAAATATCTCAAAATTATTATTCTTATTCCACTAACCAAAAAACCGTAAAAATATGTGAAACTATGTTACGGAAGAGTAAATTCTGAGTTGTATGATTTTGTGACAGAAGTAATTAATGCTAATTAATAAAGTACAAATAAGGAAATGATTCTTTTAGACAAGGATAATTTGATATGAGGAGATCTAGCAGAATAATTAGTACAACAAAAGCTACTTAAACATTGAAGTTTATAGCAACAAAAACTAAAAAGTAGCTTTTGTTTTTGTACTTAAGATGCCAATTAGGTTGATAATGACTTGATTCTGATAGAATATCCATTTTGTTGACCATATATTATTTGTGGTTTCTCTGTGTGAAACTCCACGTTATTAGTCAGCCGACATATATAATATGCTTCTATATATCTTAATTAATTCTGAACTTTTTTCTAAAAAACTTATAATAAAGACAGCTAAAGGAGAATTGATTATTTTAAATTAGGGCAATACTGTCCAAATATCTCACCAAATAGAAATTTTCTAAAACTACTTTAATTTCAAATATATAATTGTGAATGAAACATAAATTATTTTCGATAAATCTTCGACTTGATAACATGATTGCCAATGAATTATGCCAAACTATTCTATCAAAATATGGTTTTATCAATCTTAGTCTTAATTCAAAAAAATAAAGTCCTATGGATATATATATCCTCTAGTGTTTTTTTTTTTTAAAGAAAATGCAATTTAGAGCGTTGGTTTTCCGTTGCCGATCACATCGAACAAATTCATTTGTGTATCTTGAAGTACAGGACGTGGAGGTTCAATATTGGATAACTCAAGAATAGAGTAAGTTCACTTGAATCGAGTGTTTATTGAAAACAATCTATCTACTGAAAGAAATAAGTTAGTGTATATTTTATGTACCCTCTTCAGACTCTCACTTTATGGGATTTTATTGAGTATGTAGTTATTGCCGTTCAAGAATAGATGAAGTGTGTGTCTCCCAATCTATTAAACCCCAAAAATTAGATTATACGGTATATATTGTCTAAAATCATATTATAATTAGGAGATAACAATGCATTCCTTCAACTTATGTAATACATTTTAACATTTTCCCCTCTTGCACACCCAATGTATGGTTTTTGGTGCGTAAACAAACATAACATGATGGATCGTTCAACATCCGTAATTTCATGATCAATGTATTACTAAAAATCAGGCGAAAACAAAATTTGAACTCCCTTTAATTTGCTATAAGTTGGGTTTCTAAGTTGGAAAGACACGCGCAATTAAATTAGAAATATGTCCAACTCTGATATCATATTAAAATTATATTGAACGTTAATTTATGACTTTTTCACTCGATTCCTTTGTGTGGGAAAGGAAAGGAAAGGAAAGGGAAAAGTTGTCAAAGGACAGTACCACCTAACAACAACAAATACACGCAAAGCCTTAAATATGTCGAAAAACTTTACACACCACACGTAGTATACAATATATTTATATCTATATATATAAAATAATGTAACACTAGCTGAGTAACTGACCCCCCCACCACCACCACCCCACCACCCTACCACTCAACCACCACCACTAAATAAGAATAATATAATTTCCTAGTTTGTCTCTATTTATTTTGCTTGGATACGACTTTAGTGGCTTTCATTTCTCTTTTTGATGATAAGATATATGCAATTGTGGCTGCCTTACCACGTGAGGTTTTGGAACAATCCCAAGCATAGCTATATGCCTTAAGGGGTCGTTTGGTGTGAGGGATAATACCAAATAGTCCCGGGATTAAATTATAGTACCGCTTATTTTGTTGTTTGGTTGGCAAGTTCGGGATAACTTATCCCGGGATTAATAATTAGTACCGGGATAAGTTATCCCTAACCTAGGGTGGTATAGTAATCCCGGGATAACTTATCCCGGGATAAAATAGGTAAATGACAAAAATGTCTCTTTCAACCCTTTTGTTATATCACTTTTTACATTAATGAAGGGCATTTTTGTAAACAAATAAATTGTTCTTAAAATTTATTATTTTGAATACAACAAACCAAACACTCAATAAAAAATAATCCCAACACAACTTATCCCATCATAACTAATCCCAACATAACTTATCCCAACATAACTTATCCCATCATAACTCATTTTCAAACCAAACGACCCCTAAGTGTTTTCATATAGCACCCTATGTAATACTCATATATTCATAAGAAAAAGGATATTCTACTGTTGCCATATTTGTTTGTGTCCACTATTTTTAGGTTAAAATAATATCAGAGAGGGTTGAAAATGAAAAAAAAAATGTTATGTAGAGCGGAGCGAGGTTTTTTCCTATTATTATATTGCAAGCTTTTATCATGATTTTAGATTCAAAAATCTTTTTATTCTATTAAATTTCATGTCAAATCAAATCAGACAAACAAATTGAAGCAAAGGAAGTAATAGAAACTGATATATGTACTCGTGCGATGGGTGGATCATAAAATAAAACCGGAGAGAGGTAATAAAAATAAATATATGTCCCTATATGTGAATCATGTATGACATAGTGCAGATTTTATAATCTTATATATATATTTTTGGATCAGATCTTATTACGTACTAACATTTTCTATAGTATACGTAATTTTATAATTCATCAAGCAATATGCATTGCTTTATAAATTATTACGGCCGACACAGATTCCAATGTCCAAAATATAATTTTATTAATAGAAATTTGGGCATGAGAAATAACGCCAGATAGAATTTTGTCGCCTTTAACACCTAATTCAATAAAAAAATGGTAAATAATTTCCTAATTATGCCATTAGTGGAATAATTGACAAATCCATTAACACAAATAATTTGAAGTGTTTGTCATGAAATCATTTAACATAATATTATTAGGTATATCGAAGTGATAGATCTGCGCAATTGTTAGCTTTTTTTAAAAGCAATTCCGCTTGGCAATATGTGTCTAATGCTAGTTTTTATTAATAAAGAAAAAAGGGACCTTAAAGAGGAAAAATATATGAATACGATTCACGATATAAAAAAGTAAATATTCTTATATTATTAAAAAAATATTTATTTACATTATAACGTAATTGTTTGATAAAATTATGTTGATTAGTTGTTCACTTTCTTCGAACTCATCTATCTTGTATAGCTGGTAATCAAAGGATTTTCATGAATATATATTAACTCAAGTTTGTAATACTATAAATTCATAAATTTCAAATGTTGAATCTTTCTAATCACGATCAAAAGTCGATAAGGGATGAAGTATCAATAAAGTAACAATATATGATTGTGGTACGTTGCACGTGAACTTTGCAAGAATAATTCATTGTCCTCAGCATCGTTATCTACTTTAATAAGTAGTGAAATGAGATTTTGTAGTCGTGGGGTTAAGAGATCACACAAAGAAATATATATACTTTAGTACGTACATAAAATATACTCCTTACATAAACATTCAACCATATAAATCTAAAGACTTAGATTCACTTCTTTCATTCTCTAAAATATCTAACAATTTACTAGCTCCTGTGTTATAAGAATATATTTTTGATTACTTATTTATAATATGTCTCAATCATCGAGTGATTTAAGTTAAATTTTTTATCCTTAATTACATCTTGAACAAAATTTCAAGTTTAAAAAATAGATGAACATAAAAAGAGATGAGATTGGGTAGAACATCGACAATAAAAGCATCATTTTGCCTTTGGCGAGATTCATTTTAAATTCAATTACATTACTCTCTTCGTCTTATTTTATTCCAAGGTGTTACTGTTTGATGAAAAGTCATAATTTTCTCAACTTTTTATTAATTTTTGAGATATGGTACTTTTCATATAATTGTCAAATACAATAATTTTAGTTTTAATTAAAAAATTCGTACTAACATATGAAAGAGATGGTTGTTGTTGTTTTTATAACATATTACAAAGATGAAAAGTGATTGTATATATTATATACCGTGTAAAAGAGTATAATGTTGTGATGTCTAAGTTTGATGCCTACAAATGACAAGAGAACAAAAGGGAATATTACAAACTCCCAAATAGTAAGTTAAAAAAAATGTCTCTTTTATTCAATAATGTGCATAACGTCGAGCAGTTCCTTTACAACTTTTGTTCTAATTAGGGTAACCTATATGCACACATGATTTGATTAATCAGAGGTATCGTGTGAAGTCGATGCTATTTTCAACTACTAGCCAATGAAATTAAATACGTAAATTTATGTTATATATAATGCCAATGTAAAGAATTTCTTACATTAGTAAGTTACTCAGAGATATATATATATATATTACTCGGAGATATATATATATATATATGTAAGTCTCTCGTTAAAATATGAGCTTTGGTAACATTAAAACTCATTAATACTAACATTAATTAATTAGTAGTACTGTTGTAATTTCTTGTTTTTCGATTTTTGTTATTATTTGTTGTTTATTGTACTTTGATTATTGTATTGTATTTTTGTTATATTTTGCCGTGGCTTTCTTCA